GCTGACAACAACAAAAATCCATATTTATCATTATTATTAATTTCTACAGCACTTTTTTTAAATAAAGAAAGTGCTTTGCTGTTCTCATCTTATTCATTACTTGGATATGTCATACTGAGATCACATTTCTCTTGTTGGCTTTTGGGCAGTGATAGGCACTTTCAGATGACGAACTGTGTCTCTCTAAATGTTGGACTACAACTCCCATCATCCCTGACCAATGGCCATGCTGGCTGGTGGTGATGGGCAGTACAGTCCCAAGGACATGGCCACAGATTCTCTATCTCTGCTTTAGGAAGTTACGGGCTTTAGAGGGAAGTTTCACAAACTAACAAGCTTAAGCTCTTATCACAGTTCCCCAACATTAGCATGCGATTGTAGGCCCCCCAGTCTATGTCCTAGATGAAATTCATCATCAGCCCTCCTTTCCTCATTGTTCCCCCCACAAACACACACACCTCAACCCCCAGACCACACACTCAAAGGAAAAACCACCAGCATGAGAATCACTCTCCTTCAAAAGAAGACCAAGGATACTGCAGGAGTATTACAAAGTATTTTAGTTTTTCTTTGCGTTTGAAGAAAAAGCATTCCCGATCTTCTTCTTTTTTACACAGTATGTAACACTATAGCACACCTTGGTTACAAAGAACCTAATATTTTGCACATAGTTTAGTGATATGTGGGGAATTATCCAAGATCATCCAACAGGAAGCCATGGAAAACAAGCGCAGCACGAACACAACAGATCTATCTACAGCTTTTAATTCAGGAAGAAATTGAAAGTGGCATGCTTGCCAAGAAGAAAACACTGCAAAGTAGAATCTTGAAACGTTCAACAAGGGCCCCCCTCCTTTCATAGTGCTCTTAGAACATGAAACACATGCATCGTAGAGAAGGTAGTAAATTTCATTTATTTCAATACTTTGTTTTAATAATGTATTTAGAGGGGCGATGTAGTTTTGAAAATGATTTTACAAGAAACCAGGGAATGGGAGGAGGGAAGTCAAAATCAGTATGTATGTATGTATGTATGTATGTATGTATTGTTTTATGTAGAATTATTGTTGTTAAACTGAAAAATAAAATGTATTTATTGAATTTATTTATTGAATTCATATACTGCCCTATAGCCACAGGTCTCAGGGTGGTTCACAGAATAATAATAATAAATGTATTTAAATTTCAGCAAATAAATCACAATTACAAAAACAGGTTCCACCTTTCTTCAAGGAATGTTGCCCAGCAGTAGACCACATTCTGCACACACACAAAAAAAGTCCTCAATTCAAGCCATAGCATCTCCAGGTAAGGCTGGAAAATATTCTTGTCCAGAATCACAAAGAGCTGTGCCAGTAAGGGTAGGCCAGGGATAGCTACCAAGAGGGCATTCAGGTGTTGACTCACATCATCCCAACCATTGGCCATAGGCGCTGCACATGCTAGGGTTGCTGGGAATTGTAGTCCATGCCTGGCTTAGTGCCATGGAGCAGTTGGCTTCTCCTGGCCTGCATATTCAAAATCCGCACAGAAGGCCTATCCAAGATAACCCCACGTTGGTTAGGCTGCAAGTCCACAAAGGCGTTCCTGTCCCAGATCCCTCTAGGCACAATAGCTGCAGGAGACTGGTCTGGAGGAAACTGCTTTCACTCTCAAAGTAATGCCCTGGGGCTTAACGCTACCCTTCCAACCCACACTGACATTGCCAGGTGTAAAACGCAGAGGGAGGGGAGATCACAAAACAGCCAAACTCGAAAGCCCTAGATAGGCCTGATCCGTGCATATGGCACCAAACAGATTGAAATTCCCAATGCAAATCGGGCTCAAAAGGGTGGGGAAAGGAGAGGTGGTGACACATCGGAAAGAGAGGTTGCATATAGGGGTGCCCAAGCTTTTTTCAAAGAGGACCAGATTTCATGAAGTGAACATGCGTGACGGCCGACCAAAGTTGTGACCTTTTTTAAGGATTGAAGTTGCTGAGCTTTTTTTAGGATTCTACCCCAGGACGTATACTGCCACAGGGGCCAGACTAAATCGACCAGGGTCATCTAGTCCAACCCCCTGCAATGCAGGAATATTTTGCCCAACATGGGGCTCAAACTACCAACTAGGCATGCCTTCCTTGAATGCTTTGCCTGGCTAGAATGTGCCTTTTAAGTACGATAATACCTATTGCTTGCCTGGATACAACGTGTGTGTATAGAAACCTGTGGCTTTTGTGTAACAGTACAGAGATAGAAGTCTCACCACTTCTGTACCCGCCACTGGGATGTACCCTGTACCCATGATTGCACAGGAGGGAATGCAGCCCTTGAGCTGGAAAAGTTTGCCCCCTCCCCAGTAACATAGCTTGGCCTGGCCTTCCTCTAATACCCCCAGGCACAGTACAGAATGTGGCCATGCCATACAAAGTTGCTCCTCTCCATCATGCCAAACAAAACAGTTCCACAAACATCCCTCCATTCACATCAGAGTAACAGGAATAGGAGCATCAACTGCAGAAAATCTAAATATGCACCAGATATAAGGTCTATTATATTTATTGTGGACCTGCACAAAAAGATAAGCTGACCAACCAGCCCCTTTTTAATTCCGCTTTGCAGCAATTCTAAGAGAGTTTTAAAACTCTTGACTTTATATTTACTTGCGCTTAAATCTACCTATAATGCAGGTGCATGTGCTTCTAGTTTTCAATCTGTCATGAGTTAGCAACATTTACACGGAGCACAAATGTAATAGTCGGTGAAATGTATACTTTGGAAGAGAGTAAAGAGTACTATTTAGTTTCATGGCTCTAGTTCATTATCATCATACAATACAATCTGGCCCATCCATCTGAAACATTCCAGAACTTTGCCTTACACCCCCCCCCCTAAAAAAACCAAGGTGTTTATTTACATGGCCACTCCTGGATGGAAAGCTCACAATTCAACAATATAGAAAATTATTGCAATTCAAAAATCTGCCCGAAACAGCCAGTCCGGGACATTCACTACAATGAAAAGGGATGGGGGTGGGGGAAGATGAGCCGTTCCTTCTCCGCTCTGCTTTGCTTCATACCCATTTAACTATTAGTGGAAGTCTGTAACTCCTAGTCAAGGCCAGATAATGCCTCTGGTGAGAATGTCTAACAATACCCTTTACATAATACCAGCCACAGGGCTTGGCCCCTCCTCCCTCGCCCAAACAGTAACACACACTAAACAAAACTGCTATTATGGCAGGAACCACTCGCTAAATGGCTGCCTTTATATAGCTTCAATCTGTAAAAAGATGTTTCATTTCAATGTATTTAGCAAAAAAAAAAAAAAAAACTTTTACAAACAGCCTGATTCAGCAGCACAGAAGTAAACAGCAGGCACATAGTTGCTGGGTATATATTTCTTCTGTAACATTCCCCTCTTTTCTCCTCCTCCTCTTCTCTCCCCCCCCCCCCACTCTCCAAAAGAGACACCAGCAAATAGCCCCAACGCGGGGGGGGGGGGGCGAGCAGGCGTGCTCACGAGCTGCTGACACCCTCGGTCTGTTTTGCCACGCACGCTTCTCGCACCTAAGTGAAATGTGCGCCGACGCCGACGCCTTGGCACCCTGCAGAGCCGTGCCAGCCCACACACATTACTTACACACACACCCCTTTGCAAAGAAAAGAAAACCCAAAGGGGAGGTGGGGGAGCCTATGCAAGCTGCTCTGAGGTGTCGGAGCAAAAGAAGTGGAGCCAGAGGCGGAGAGGGATACTCTCCACAGGCGCTGCCAGGGAGGAAGGGGGCGGAGGGCAAACGACGACCTGTCATTTCCCCCACCCGCCAAGTGAGCGAAGCATGCGTGTGCGTTGTTGTTGTTGTCGTCCTGCGGTGAAGTTTCTCCTTCTTTCTCCCCGGAGGCAGAAGAGGAGAAGGGGGTCGTAGGGAAGGGGACTCCCGGACACCGGGCAACGGCTCGGGTTTGCAAACAACAACAACAACAGCAACAACAACAACAACACACCCCGACTTCGGTCAAGGGGTTTGAATGACAGCTGGGACAGGAGGTCCTGCGCAGAAGGCGAGGCGCCTCGACCCAGAGAAGAGAGAGGAGATTATTTGACGGGGTGGGGAGAGTGGTATGGGGAGACACGGCGTTGTAAGGGGAGGGGGCGTCGGAAAGATGGGGGAAAGGCAGAAGGGGGTGCAAGTAAGAGGAAAGTTGGAAGGAAGGGGGAATTTGCAGAGAGAAAGAGAAAGAGAAAGAAGGGGCAGTAAAAAAAAGGCGCCCAGTTGCTGTAGCACTCTCCCACCCGCAATTCCTTCAGAAAGGTTGGAGATGGGCTGCGGATCTGCACCCGCGTCCTCGAGTTCACACAAGCAGGGCCAGGTCGCCCTTCCAGATTTAGTCCAGAGTGGCGCAGGGAGGGGGTGGGGAGAAGAGGCTGGACGGTCCTGCTCTGGCAAGAAGGGCAAAGGAAGATAACTATATACTGTATACGGTTGGAGGGAAAGGGTGGGGGTGGCGACGGACGGAGGATCGCGCCCCGGACCGCAGGGTCCCCCCCGCTCACCTGTTCTTCAGCGGCTGGCTCTTCAGCTCATAGTAGGTCTTGGGCTCCTCGTGGAACTCCTCGCCGACCTCGAAGTCCGGCACGATCCCCGACTCCGCCTGCATGTCTCCGGCAAGGCGAGGGAGCGAGGGAAGGACGGCGAGGCGAGGGAGGCGAGCCGCGCCCGCCCCAAGCAGCGCAGCCCTGCGCCCTGTCTGTGCGCCCCGCGGCTCGCAGAAGCGGCAGCAGCTCTCCAGCCCCGACACTCCCGGCTTGGATGGACTCGGCTGGGCTCTGCTCTGCTCTGCCCACAGCACAGCTCCGCGCACACCTTCCTCCCGGCGCCGCCTGGGATTTGTAGTTCTTCGCGGGGGCGCTGCCTACCAAGCCCGATCGCCCGCTGCACTACGACTCCCATAAGGCCGAGCGGCTGTGACGCAAGGCCCGGGGGCGGGGCGCGGAGAGGCACCGGCGCGCGCCCTGTCAATGTCAGCAGAAAGCCGCTCGCCAAGGGTACAGCGGCGGCGGCGGCAGCAGCGCCCCGCTTCGGACGCGGGAGGCGCCGGGGCTCAGGCCCGCCGGGGAATCGGGCCTTGTTCCCACGAACAAGGCTGGCAGCGGCGGCGGTCGTCGTTCGCAGGGCCCGAGGTGCTTGCCCTCTGCACGTGCTCAGACGTGCCCTCGCCTTCGCTACATGCTACGGGCTGCTGGTCAATGTTCACACACCGGCAAGACCAAGGTGCTCTGAACATACCCTGAGACCTCCGGGTATATAAATTCAGGAAATAATTTGAATTATGCTTTTGAATTATGGTGCTGTAGCAGACTCTTGAGAGTCCCATGGACTGCAAGAAGATCTAGCCGATCCATTCTTAAGGAAATCAGTCCTGAGTGCTCACTGGAAGGACAGATCGTGAAGCTGAGACTCCAATACTTTGGCCACCTCATGAGAAGAGAAGACTCCCTGGAAAAGACCCTGATGTTGGGAAAGATTGAGGGCACAAGGAGAAGGGGACGACAGAGGACGAGATGGTTGGACAGTGTTCTCGAAGCTACCAGCATGAGTTTGACCAAACTGCGGAAGGCAGTGGAAGACAGGAGTGCCTGGCATGCTCTGGTCCATGGGGTCACGAAGAGTCGGACATGACTAAACGACTAAACAACAACAACAACAAAATAAGAAGAAGAAGAATGCTCAGAGGCACCTTCGCTTCTGTGAGGTGTGCCAGGAGTCATGCTCAAAAAGCCTGTCTGGAAACACTTCTGGTTGCATGGCAGCATTCCCACATGGCGATGTCAACACTTGCTCTGCGCTTTGATCGCCACTCTCTGCCGCGTAGTCCACACTGAAAGTTGGTTGCTCAGCAAAGGGCGCGTGGTAAAGCCCTGGTTCATTCGCATTTAGACCTGCCATTGGGTGGGGGTGGGAAAGCTCTCCATCCTGAAACCTTTTGGGTATTATTTTGTCGCAAGCAAATCCATGATCACACTGAATAATGCTTGCTTCATGAGCTCAACGGGGCTTCTGTCCTCTGGCCAGATGCATTTCCCAGCAAGTTGGCCAGCCTAGGAATAGAAAGGCTATTCAGTGCTCGAGCACGGAGTCCAATGCAAACTTGTAACCACCTCCCCAACCATGCTACAAAAAGGCCTGTTTTTAAATACTGTACTTTGCTGTCATTTAGTTCCACGTCTAGCATGTTAGCCTGAATTTTTCAACCTCATGGTAATGGGTTTGCAGTCCAGGCCAAGCCTGCCTGTAAATTCTAGTCCTGCAAAGTGTCCTCTTCTCCCTCTGCCCCACGTTTTGGGACTCTCTAGTTCCAGCAGTGTGAACTCAGGCTAAAGGCTGCAGGTGATTTTTTCCTGAAAAGATCTGGCATAGCTTGATGCTAAATCCTGCTTGCTGAAAATAGATCAGTGTGTCGACATATTTAAAAGATCACAAGCTCACTCCTTCTTTTTACTTCGGATTAATCCAGAATAATCATCACGAACTATTTAACAATCAAACAAGGATCAGAATGCTCCTATTCCTGCATAAACAAAACCACCCTTTTAACCCTTCTTTGGGTAATACGAATGACCACACAACACAGTAACTTACTACAATTTGCACTTCACCTCTTGCTCAACAAACCACTTGTTCAGATCCTCCTGGCAAGGGAAAATTTAGCACACTTCCACTTCTACAGATCTCTGACCATGTGTGGAAATAGGGTAAAATTATCCATATCACTACACGGTGTTTATATGCACATCATTATATGATAAGTTTTCTCTCATTAAGTAGGATTCTATATTGATCCTTCTAAGCACCCTGGAATGTGATCCAAAAAATGCACCTGCTCTGACTGTTAAACGATTTGTAGTGCATGTTCTAGAAACTGGCAGTTACTCCCTCTAATTTCTGATACCCAGAGGTGATTGCCATTGCTTATGCAGCCAAAATGGCACCATCCACCCAAAACAAGGAGGACTGGGGAAGCCTCAAGGTTTGCAGAAGTACAACAGGACATTAGTGGGGGGGGGAGCCCTAAGAGAGAAAACCATTCAGTCAAATATTGATTCCTCTTCCAAATCCTTGCTCCCAAAACAGCTTTTGAAAACCCTTTCCCACCTCATACAAGCAGTCCCTACCACCCAGCTCAGTGTACATGTGTCCTTGCAGGGACAAAGGTTCCAGTTTAACATATTTTAACATTACACTGGAGGTTTGGAGGCAGAGGTTGGTCATGGATGCTTTAGCTGAGATTCCTGCATTTGCAGGGGGTTAAACTGGATGACCTTCAGGGTCCCTTCCGACTCTACAATTCTATTATCCCACCACCTGCATGTCCAGTTACAAAAGGACCCCAGGTATCAGGGCTGGGAAGGACATCTACCAAGGACCCTGGAGAGCTGCTGCCAGTCAGAACAGATGATACCAGGCAAGCTGATCCTACAGAGAGTAGCACAGAGTAGCTAAATGGGGTCACAGGCATCCAACACACATATGAAATGAGTAAGGGGACAGAATAAGTAGATGGCAGGAAGTGGTTTCCATGTGCTTTTGAGACTTGGAACCTCTCTTTTATGAAGCAGACTCCTGGAGAGGTGTGTGTGTTACAGAGTCAGGCAGGTCATGATTCAATGGAGGAGGAACAACTTCTTTTCAATTCTCAATTACATTTTTTTCAAATTCATACATTAACCATTATATCCATACATTGACTTCCCTTCCCCCTTCCATGGTTCATTTTAATTATCTATTACTACTGCAAATTCTAATTACTCCATATTTTTTAAATTTCCCTTTCTCATCGTATCTCTGGTTAATTTACACTGCTGAATTTACATTGCTAACATTTTGACCTGTTTACAATGATGCTTCAGATATTCTACAAACATTTTCAAGGAGCAGCTTATTTTGGGAAGAGTTAGTGTCCATCCCTCGCTTTCTTTTAACGTCCCTGGTTTTCTTCAAGGGACAACTTCTTTAGTGATGTGGCCGTGTCTCTCCGAAGTGACTAATCTTATTTTGAATTCAAAGTAGATGATGTAATATATCCTGCACTGGGATAATTTCTATTTGGATATGACATGTGCAAATGTTTGATTTTACACAGAGTTTCCTTATCGGGCATGTGTGGTCTGGTGAGTAGGGTGGGAGCAGAGTTCTGGCTCTAAAAATGCTGCGTGGTTTGGGGCCAGTCACATCAGTGCTGCCTCAATTCCTCCTTCCCCCTCCCTGCCCCCTGTAAAATGGGAAAAGCTAACAACTTGCTCTGCACCACTATTGTGTTCTTCACTATAATAAAGAGTGCAATAGGCATATAAAAGACAGATGCCAGTATTCCTACTCACTTCTGTTGCGCCCAGAAACAAAATCTAGGGTGCAGCTACGCATGCAGATAGTAGCAGACTTTCAGTTGCAATTGCTGGGGACGCAGGAAATCTCCTAGGAAATACAGAACATAACAGGTTAAACCATGTTTGTGGTGGTGTCCCCAACTATTTACATCTATGTAAATAGTTGCCATCGAAAGAGTAAGAGGATATTTGATGGTATTGCTGCAAAACCTGGGGTGTATGGGGTGTTAGGGTAGGGGTAGTACCTCTGGTTGGGGGGACACATCATGCTCCTTCTGGGGTAGCTTGTCCACATTTGCCACCCCCTTTGCATTCAGCTCTCACCTGTGCTTCCGAGAAGCTGCCAGTATGCGACAGCAGCCCTGCCCAGAAAGCCGCTTTGACTGGCTGGTAGCCAGTGGGACTCAAACACTCAGTGAGTTGAGGATTTCCCCAGCATGTAGATGAGACCAATAGTGGGTCCAATGGTCAATTAAGTGGTTTCTGCATTTGCTGTAGAGGGAAGTGAGGGGCAGATGGGGCTCATCAACCTGGGAAGGTAGCCCATCTAGAAGGAAAACTCTGATCCTCAGTTTCCGCTGCCTTCTGGGATATCTTTGGGAGGAGAAAGGGCTAAGGAGTAAACCCTACAAAAATCTGGAGTGGAGTCCCTAAAATGGTTGGATGGCGTCTTGTACACATAGCTGTCAACTTTTCCCTTTTCTTACAAGGAATCCTATTCGGAATAAGGGAATTTCCCTTAAAAAAAGGGAAACGTTGACAGCTATGCTTGTACACCTCTTTCTGGCAACTCCTGGCAACATTCCAGATCTCCAGTCTCTGGTCACACCTAGGGCAAGAAGTTCCATTGTCTTGTTAATGACCTATAATGGCTCTCTTGGTGGCCCTAGTTTGGCCAGGCTATCCAGGAATTCCTTTGCAGCTTATATTCTCCCCTCATATCACAAATAACCTAAAATCCTAGCATTTATTAATTTTAGTGTTTAGGGGGACATCCCCCCCTCAATTCTGTAACACCGTGTTACTCCATAAAATGTCAAAATAAATAATAACTGCCACCCTTGATCATTACTGGATTGTGGCACCTCTGCATAGCTGAGAAATCAATAGTTACAGGACTGAGGGGGTTGGTATGGATAATGACTTTGGGTCCCAATCAAGCCTGTGATTTTGTATCAATAAGTTTGTAGTCTGTAGTTGGAGAATGGTGAAGTAGACAAATAAGCCTCTTTTTTAATGGGTCTGTTAGGCATTCATTTACATGGCTAAAGACTTGGTCAAGTACAGATGTGTTGCCATAGGAACAACTGCCTAGTGATGTATTTTCACAAGCACTCACCTGGCTGGAAGCCACCTTATCCTGTAGGTCAGGAGCTAGCCTTTGTCTAGCAAGCTCTAGAGGTGAGAAGACATAGAGGCTTGACTTGCTCGCTGTGCTGAATCCAAAGCTTTGGCTAGAAACCTAATGAGGAAGCAAGGTCTGTTGGAGTGTATATGCCATGAGTCCTTCCAACTTATGCTTAGGTTTGTATACATGTGTAAATAAATAAAACCATATGTTCTAAAGATACCACCGTCTCCAGTGACTTTCATCCCAATGAAATCAAACCCTCAGAGATTGGATAGTGTACAGCAATACATTTTGAATAACTTGAATCTATACACACTCAATTGTCCACGAATGTTGGCTCAGTAAACCATACCACTTTACTGTTTTGTATAGGGGAAAAGGATATGTCTACATATTTTAGGTATGCTTCGTGACATCCGCTGCAATGTTATGATGCAATGGCACA